GAAGGAAGGCGGACAGCAAACCGGGGAGCTTCCCTCTCGTGCTCTCTGTGCAGCCAGCTTCCTGCCTTGGTGGAAACTGGCGACCTCCCTGCACCCGGGCCGGCGGGGGGGGGGGGGTGCTGCTCTAGGTGCCTACTGGGTGCACTGGCCTCTTCTTCCTATTGGCAGAGGCTCCATCTGATTCGGGCGTCTGCACCAACCCCAGTGACTCCTGAAAGTCTACACCAGTCTTAAGGGCCCTTGCCAGTCATGGGTTTCAGAGTGAGCATGTGACCCAGTTCTGGCAAGGGAGCTATCAAGGAAGTTTACAGGGAGCTTCTGGGAAAGGTCTCATCCCTGATGGAAAAGGGACCACGGAAGCGTGACAGGGCCTGGAGCCTGAGAGAGCCATGAGTAACAAGGCTGAGTACGTCAGAGGGGCCTCCCCGCTCATGAAGTCCTGTTTCCTGGGCAAGAAGTCCAGACTCAATGCTGAGGGCCCCGGGGAACCATGGCTCAGGTCTGTGTGTCACACCGCTGACCGTGAGACATGGAGAACGCATTCAAGGGGGACGGCCTGGAAGAAGGACACCAGTTAGGAAGCAGCTGGATGAACTGCAGATGGGACACAGAGGAAGGTTCTAAACAATCGGGGTGATAAGGAGAGAGACTTGCTGGCTCTCTGTGCTCAGGGGCCTCAAGAACTGGTACCCTAAAGTAAGGAGGTCCTCACTAGCTCCATTCTGGACTGTCTGACTCGTCTACACAGGCCCAGTTACAATGGTAACTGAGGTAGAGACATAGTTTCTGAAGCATTTTTTGGGAAATTGAATCCAAATGATTTCATTTAAACCAATAGTCCACCTACCCAATTTCACTTTGCACTGTATGAGCACAACTTCTCTGCCACCCAGACCTGATGCAACCTTCCAAGAGGTTGGGCCAGTACGTCCCGGGTGAAACCAGCCTGTGAGCACATCCCTTCCCAGTGACTAATGGGATCCGCTCCAGATGAGGGACATGTTACAAGTACACGTACGTATGTGATTACTGCTGACTTTGGCAAGAGTCACACAGTGGAGACATTACTCAGCTTCTCAAGGGTTTAGAAATGAGCCCTCCTCCAGAGTGAGTGGGAACAAGGGGTCACCTGCTCAGAATGGAGCAAAAGAGTGGCTGATGGGGGAAGACACAGGGGCAAGGGAGGGTGTGCTCCTGAGGCACAATACACAAGCCTCCTGGATGCCTTTTTTTTTTTTTTTTCTTAGCACATACACACACTGCTTTTCGATTTCTAAGGGCAACCACAGTTTGGTTTCATTCCTTCATAACATGTTCTTTTTTTATTTTTTATTTTTTTTAGAGAGAGAGAGAGAAAGTGAGTGAGCACGGGTGGGGGGGAGGGGCGGGGGGCTGAAGAGAGAGAACTCCAAGCAGACTCCCTGCTGAGCGTGGTGCCCAACACGGGACTCAATCCTACAACTCTAAGATCATGACCTAAGCCGAAATCAGGAGTCGGACTTTCAAGTGACTGAGCCACCCAATGCCCCCTCACATATACTTTCTAGGCATAAGCAAATATATGTGTGTCTATAGCTTAAAAAAAAAAAACTTGTGTGGCATCATAATGCCCAGTCTTTTGCCTCTCTCAATTCATGATACATCTTGGCTATTCTTCCCTGTCAGCTCTATCTCCTTCTTTTTCGTGACCACATAGCATCCCGGCACAAGCCTACACCATGACTTAACTATCTTCTACTGGGGACATATTCAGGTTGGTAACCATTTTCCCCATTCTAAATAATCAGCAGTGAAAATCCTTGAACACACGGTCTTGAGCACCTATGTGAGTTCCACATGATGATCTGTTCCTCTAAGTAGGTTTTCAGCTTCACTTCCTTACAGATTGAGGTCTAGTCACCAAGCAGAGACAGTCTAATACTTTAAACTAGTTACTTGCCCACTCAGCTGGAGCAGATACAAATGTTTGCTAGGAGAAGGCTCAGAGCAGCATTCTCTCCTCTTAGAATCCAGACTTCCAGAAATGGTCAAGCTAATGCGCCAAGCGACTCGTGTTCAGATGACACTGGGCCATTGACGAGGCACTCAGCCACATCCTGTCGCACCTGACTCTCATGTCAGTCCGCAGAGCAGGAGTTTTTACAGAGGATTCAGAAACTGTTTTACAGAGGATTTGGAAACTGAGGCTCAGAGAGGATGAGACATCTATCCAGGGTCACACAGCTCGTAAGCGGCAGAGGACTCAGAAACGAGAGACAGATCTGATGAAATCCTGCCTTCTTTCTAAATCCATGGTGCAGATTGTATCACGGAGCCTCTTAGAGAAGAGACATATGGTGGATGCTTAGCTGAAAAGGTAGGTGACATAAACATCTGCCTACATGGGAACCGTCATCTTCCCCACCGCCTGTTATGGTAATGGGTAACGGAAATTCCACCATTCAAGATTTACTTCTTTGGCTCTTTCCCCAAGGACACAGTCACATCTCAGGCCCTTGTGAGCTGACAGAGAAGTTGGCAGTTCAATGAAGTCAGGCTCCTCAATAGGACCTAGAAAACCAGGGAAGAATCAGAGAAACTTACCATGGAGAGGGAGAGGGCTGTGAAGGGTAGGATGACAAGGAGAAACACACTTCCTCTGCCACTTTCTAGTTTTGCCTGTGGCTCCACTTTAGATGGAAATTTCTCCAGCCTCTTCCCAGATTAGCCAGGGTGAACTTGCCTAAAAGGAACACTCTGAAGATGATTTGCTGAGATAGACGAGACCTGCCCAGTTAGGCACAGCAGGATGGATCTGGAGTTGGATCCTGGCATGGAAAAGTACTGAGGTTCTTTGCTTCCAGATGGGAGCTAGAGCCACTGTCTGAAATGATTATCCCCAGTCTGAGCCTCTCCAAAGTTGGTCTTGCAGAGTGAAATGAAAGCCAGATTCTGGGTCTTATCTGAGAGCTACATGACTGTTTCTCATCAACCATTTGGAGACTGGAAGGTTCCCAAATTCATTGTCTAAACTTTGTGATGGAATACACACAGCTCTCCAATGTGAGCTTGTGATCACAGGTACTTGCCTACACAAACAGTTCACCCCATTCAATAAAAAAATGTTACTATTTGGGGCTTTCAATTAGCCAACAAGTATTTATTAAGCACCTGCAGGGGGCCAGGAGAAGTGGGCAGGACACAGGGGTCCCTATCCTCAAGGAGAGCAGGAGGCAGACTTGTAAAGAATTATGTCCCTGTGCAGAATGAGACAAAAGTAACTTCTCTTCCTGAAAGACAGGAGAAGCAGGGAACCTTGCCTCAGGGGAGAGAGTATATGCAGAGTGACAAGGAATTCTTCCAAAGCTGGGAGAACAATTGAGGTCTAATTGCTGATACTTCCCAGCTGTGTGACCTTGGGCAATGATGACCTCACCTTCTGAAGCCTCAGCTTTCTCTTCTATAAAGTGGGTGTAACCAAAAAGCATCCCTGGGGTTGTTACAAGGATTAAATGGGCTGGGAAGTGAGTAGCAACCTGGTGATGGGTCCATAGTAAGGATGTGAGGAATAAGCTGTTATTGTTATATTCATAGAGATTCATCACTGTTTCCCTAAATGCTTTCCTCATCACCAAATCACAAGTCAGCCCCAAATTTGCCTATTTGTGGACACCAGGGACCTGTGGAACTGTTACTGGTCAAGTTAAAAAGCAACAATGGGAGAAAATAACCCACGTGGGACAACATAGGTATACATACCTTTGGATGATGGATACCCATGAACTTGGAGTTTGATTACAATTTCACCAGGGTGGACTTGATTACAATTCCACCAGGGTGTCTAATTTCTGTCTGGGACAAAGCAGATTCCCAGTAGGAGGCGCCTTCTGTCCTCAGCTGGATCCTCTGACACCCGGCCAGCTGCCTATTGGCCTTTCTCAGGGTTCAGAGAACTGGACAGTTGCGGGAGAAGGGGACCCCCGAACTGGCCTCTCTTGGAATTCAAAACAATCTAAGATTGGGAGAGACGGCGGCCTATCTTCTCCCTCTAGGTTTAGAATCCAGGTTTTTTTGTGGTCTGGCTGAGATCAGTTTGGGCGCGGGAGAGGCATGGTTCCAGGGCAAACCTCCAGGTGGGGGCGGGGGGGCAGAGGCAGAGCCGCCGCGGTAGAGAGGCACCCTCACCAGTTCCGGTTTACCCTCCCCAGAGCCAGGTCTCAGGCAGCAGTTCTGGGGCTCTAAGCAGAGGTGGGCCAACGCCTGCAACCTGGTGGTCAGGACGACGACAGCCGGTATTTCATTGGGAAAGTTCTCCGGAAAGCTGGGAATGAAAGCCCCCAGTAGGCGAGATTCTCGGGATAGGGCGCCCGCATCCCGTATGCATGCAGGCGCGGGCCCCCCGAAATGGGCTCCACCCGGACCGTGCGACCGGGAACCTGCAGGGGGCGCGCAGGGGACCGGAGAGAGGGTGGGGGGCCGGGCCGAGGGCAGGAACAGACTCGCTTTTTAAAAACCTGCTTCCTCCTTTCCTACCTCCACCCATCAGTCACCTCGCAAACCACCAACCCTGGGCGGTGCAGACGGGTCCCAGCGCCCCGAACACGCCCAAGGGTGAAGAGGGTGGCCTCGGTGGCCTCCCCAGGAAGTGGGGGGGGGGGGGGGGGGGAGAGGCCGGCGCACCGGGCGGCCAGGTGAGCGCGGGGCCAGGTAAAGGCGCGGCAGGTGGGTCCGCAGTGCTGTACCCGCCTACTCGCGCCTGAGTGGGGATTGGGGTATGCGGTGGGGTGGGGGGGTCTCCCAGCTCTACTTAACATTTAAATAACCTGGACTCCGGTCCCGAGTCACCGTCCCCCGTTCCACCCCCACTTCCACCTCCGCGGCCCGGGGGTAGGGATGTCTGGGCTCTGTTCCCTTCCCACATCCCTGTTTAGCCAACTCGGAGGGCGGGGTCGGGGGAGGACTTGGCCCAGCGTCCCCCCACCCGCTGGCAGCCCCCCCGCAATCCGACGCGAGAGAGTGGGTGCTTTCCCTCCGCAGCTCGGGTCCGCGCCCCAGTCCTGAGGGTGGCGCGGAGGGCCGGGAGGGAGGGTCGGCTGGTGGGCGGCGCCTCTCGGGGCTGGAGGCCGCTCCGGGCCGGCGCCGCCCTCTGTCTCTCGCCGTCCCTCCCTCCTGCCCGCCGGCGCTCCGAGGCCGAGCTTCCTGCGTCCCCATCCCGCTCCCGGAGCGGGCTGTGCGCCCTCTACGCCACCGCCTCCCTCGACCGAGACCCCCCCACGCCGCCGAACCTCCGGCCCCGGGATCATAGCGCTCCGAAGGAGGCAGCCCGGGGGGGACCGGGTCGGGGAGCCCCCGGTCCCCGGCCGCCCGACCGTGACCGTGCTGGACCCGCAGCCGCCCGGGTGAGTCTGCGCCGCCGCGCCTTCCGCCCCGCGGCGCCCCGCGGAGTGACTGTTGGCGGGGCCGGGGAGGGAGTCGAGGGCTGGCGGGGTCTGTTTGTCCGTCCGTCCGGGAGTTTCCTGTCCCGGGTCTGCGGCCGGGAGGACTCCGAACCGGCACCCACTGGAGCCGCGCCCCGCCAGTGCGGGACACCCCGCCTCCACGGCACCGCGCTGACCTCGGCCCGGGGAAGGCAGCCAGCCTCCGGGGCCCCCTGTTGGCGAGGACAGGCGCCATCCGCCAGGTGGGTTTCGAGCTCTCGGCCTCGACCAAGAGGCACCTTCCACCCATGCTTAGAGCAGAACTTCCCAGTAAGTCCCCGGAAACCACCCTGGCGCTGCCCAATTGATCCCCCTTCCCCCATCCCTAACTCTTTTCTGGAAACCGAGGCTTTGGGGGAATTTAGATTCGTGTGTGTGTTTTAACGTACCAGAGGCAAAAAAAAAAAAAAGGTGAGAAATCGGGCGTGAGCGAAGTGGGGTGAAACTCAGTTTCTTCACTGTGAAATGGGTATGATAACCTCCTGGGATGAGGTGGGGCACTCGTGCCTAGCACATAGCAAGTACTTAAAATCCAAATCAGATCTCTTGTCTGCTTCCCGATGGGAGGCGTGTGGCCTGGGACTGCCAAGTCTAATTGAAAGGGATGGTCACTTCTAGCAAGTAAGCTTTCCTAACCAAGGGGTGGGGGAAACAGGAAACCTGGATGTCCTTACGGTTCCCCAGCCCTGCCTGGGCCCTCCCTGGCCGGTAGCAGCCATGGGGCACCTGTGCACTCTCGGATGAGCTTGTGTGGCCGGGGCCAGATCCCTCCTAGCAGTGCGGGTGGTCCAGGCGCCGGGGTTCCCGGCGCCGCTGGAGCGGCGCGGGCGGGGCCTAGGTGGGCGGGGCCGGAGCCAGCCCAGGAGAGCTGCCGGAGAGGGGTTACCCTCTAGAGCTGGCTTTTGGCTTTCGTTGGACGTAGTGCTCTTGGAGTATGGCTTCTCTAGTGGAGGGTCGGCTCTGGGACCTGTGAGCGGCTTTCACACTTGGGAGACTCGTCACACAAGGATCTTGACCGAAGTTGATAGGAACGAACGGAATTGGGAAGGAGCCCCTTTCCCTCCAAATGCTTCCCTCCGCAGCTTGCCAGAGGTACTGCCCAGACTGGGACAAAAGGCAGAAGAGAGGAAGGGGAGGAGGCTGGTGGCGCATCTGTTTCTCACAGTGTTCTGTCCAGTGGTTGGATGATTAGGGCCTCCTGGGCATGAAGCAGGGCCAGGCCTGCCCCAGAGATGCAGAGCCTAGGGACCTCAAGAGCTCCCAGCCTAGTGAGTAGTAAATGACAAGAGTCGCTCAGAGGTGATATTACAGTCAGGCCCCAGCACTGCCTGGCTGTGTGACCCGCCTCACTGGCCCTCGGGTTTCCTCATCTGTACGATGGGAGTGATAACCTCCTAGGTGGGACCTTCATGCCTAGCAGGAAGTTCCTTTACAGGGCTTAAGGGAGAACAGGAGAGAGAAAATAACTCAGGCTGAGGTGTGCTGGGACGCCCTGCTAAGAAAAGGATGTTCGACTGTGCAACAGTGTATTGGAGTCCCTTGTGGAGGGGGAAGGAAGGGTGTCTGGGCAGATGGAACAGCGCAAGCAAAGGCACTGAGGTACAAAGGTACACGGGGTGGGGTGGGCCTAGGGGAGTGTGCTCAGGCAATGGCAGATGGGTTTGTGGGAAGGTGGGGAAAGTAAAAGGAATTGGAGGGTCTGGGATGGGGGCCAATCATTGCACGTGGGATTTTATCATGTGGACGTCTGGGAACCATTCAACAGATGTTGACTGAGTGCCTTCCATGGGCCAGGCACTGTTCTAGGTGCTCAGGATGGATCACTGAACAAGAAAGACAAAGAAACAAATCGCATTCAAGATCTTTAAGCAGGGGAGTCATCTGACCCTGTTTGATCTATGTGAGGAAGATAATTCTGTGTGGAAGTCGGATGAGAGTTTGGGGAGGACTGCTGGGAGAGAGGAGGCTGGTCTGCGGGCTGGGGGCAGTGGGGATGAAACGGGGGGCTAGAGTGGAGCCCCGCACAGGAGGCAGAGATTAACATGTGGTCTTCACACGTGACCACTGCTCAAGGGTGAAGTTTGTGGATTTGGTGTGAGGCCCAAACTGCCAGCCTGTCTTCCACCAGAGAGCGCGGGCGAGTGCCGGGGACCTTGGCAGGGCCCAAGCCCCTCCAGCTGTGGCCTTCCTGCTCCTAGACTCCAGAAGGCACAAAACCTAGGAGTTTCTATGTGAGGAATGGCAAAGCTGCAGGCAGAGCCAGGAGCCCATCTCCTGGGCAACCTGCGTCTTTTAGGGCTCCTGTTTTCCTGGGTCACGGTTCTGGTAAATGTTCTCTCCCTCCATGCGGCTGGCAGTAAACCTCTCAGGACCCTCAGGCTAGAAGAGGGGCTTTGGCTCTGGGCTTCTCTTCTCCCCATTCCAAATTGAGGTGGAATTCAAGGGACTGAGCAGAGTTTTCTCCCTAAGTGCTGAGAAAGTTCCAGAAGCTCAGATGTCTTCTGTTGGGGATGTGGTGAGGGGTCTGCTTCTGGCTCTTGGCTTTTGCTTTCAGTTTGTTCTGAAGCTTGGACGGGTCATTCTTGCAATTGATAGCTCTAAGAGTGTCCTCTGTGATGGAAGTCTCCCTTTGCTTGGAAGGGGACCACACTCTGTCTTTCACCAGGAGGACCCCAGAATGTCTTGGGTGGAGGGGACCACTCTCATTTGACAAATAAAACTCAGAGAGGAAAAGCGCACATAGCAAGTCAGCAGCAGAACTGGGACTGCCACCCACCCCCTGACCACTGTTCATTCTCCCAGGAGACTGGCCACGTTCAGGTCAGAGACTTGTTTTAGACCCCAGTTTAGTACAGGTTTGGTGGTTTCTCAGGACCTCTGTCTTGCTGGCCGCTTCATAGAGTCTTGTTCCTCCCCAGCCTGGACAGGTGGCCCAGCTTGGCCTGGCAACATTTTTGTTCTCCTCGCCTTGGATTGAGCCCTTGGTGCACTGGCTGGCCCTCCTGGGAGCTCTGGCCCCCCAAAGAAACAGGTCTTCCCTGCTTCAGGCCAGACTGCCCCAACACGCTGGCCAGAGGCAGCCCTGTGAGACTCTCTGCTGAGCTCTCCCCGACTAGCTGTGGCCTCAGACTCTTGACTCCTCCCTCCCCTTGGCCCCAACCCTTATCTCCTGAGGCTGGTTGGCCCTGCCTTCTATCCAGTGTTGTTTACTTGCGCTAAGCTGCCAACAGTCTCTTATTCTCTCTTGCCCTAGATTTATCAGACCTAGCAGCCCTTAAACCTGAATGCTGGTCCCTTTAGCTCTTAGAATTTTGGAGCCAGAGGGGACCTTAGCCGTCAGAACGTCTAATCTGCTTATTTTACAAATGGGGAACTGAGGCCCAGGGAAGGGAAGGCACTCACCTGAGTTCAGGGCTAGGACTAGACCCCATTTCCTGATTTCAGGGATGGTTCTTGAAAATAAACCAACACAATAAAACCAGAGGAGCCCACCCCCCCTCCCCCGAAGCCTCTGTCTCTCTACGCTCCACACGGGCAGGTGCTTTGGAGACGTCCACAGTGACCTATCCAGGAGGAGTACATGCTGAGGGACCCGGAAGACGAGGGGTGCACATCAAGGAGTATGTATCTTGACATTTTCAGGTCCTATCTGTTCAAACTGATATTAACGCCAGGGAGTAAGCTAGTGATTAACCGACCTTATTTGCTGCTCTTTATAATGTACCTCTGAATGGATCGGCATTTAAAGTTGTTTTCTCCCCCAGATCACCAAGGAAGTACATGCTCACTGTAGAAAACCTGGATGGGTTTTTTTGTTTGCTTGCTTGCTCTGCTATCTAATATCCTGGTTCATTGTCATAACATGTATTTTCCCTGTGTGACAGCACGGCAGTTCTAACCTGTCAATCTCACACACTTCTACCCTCTGATGGCTGGAAGGTTCTCAGGAAGCCAGCTTTTTGTGGTATGTCAGAATACTCCAGCCACCAAAAATCCTAGCACACTATGCAAATTATTCACCGTGTGGGACTTCAGGGGGCCATGTCTCGCACCACCATGGTGTTTGGGAAAGGGCTATGTTTACAAAAATCTGAAGCAAAGATCCGATTCTCAGTGAGCATCTTAGAAATGGAGGAGGTTAGGGGCGCCTGGGTGGCTCAGTTGGTTAAGCGACTGCCTTCGGCTCAGGTCATGATCCCGGAGTCCTGGGATCAAGTCCCGCATCGGGCTCCCTGCTCGGCAGGGAGTCTGCTTCATCCTCTGACGTTATCCCCTCTCATGTGTTCTCTCTCTCTCATTCTCTCTCTCTCAAATAAATAAATAAAATCTTAAAAAAAAAAAAAAAAAAGAAATGGAGGAGGTTAGCCATCTCGGTGGGATGGGTGTGATCCAAAGATTATAGGAGGGAAAGAGAAGTCTTCGTTTCCTCTGTGTTGGTTTTTAACCCAGCCAAGTGCTCCCACCACCCTGTTACCACCCCTTGCCCTGAATCTCCCCAGGATTAGGCACTGGGGTGGCAAGTGTGGGTCCCTAGGAAAATCAGGACTGTATTCCGCTTGCTTGTCTCCGAGCCCTGCATCTTGCACAGCAAGATGACTGTTTCGATGGCAAGCCAGAATTTGTTGCTTACTCAGGTGATCCAGGTTGGTAACTTCACCTTTGGGACAGGGTCACCTGGTGTCACCTCTCAGACTCTAAGATCACAGCTTCATTAATGCCATGTAAATTGTCTGTGCTAGAAGTGATCTCGGAGGGTCCCTTAGGCCAATGCCTATAGACTGTGGGCAGCAACTTTGTGGGTTTTAAAATCAGTTAAGTAGTTTTCCACTGGCTTTTAAAAAGTGAAATAGAAGAAAGCAGACTAGAAAACAAAATGCATCTCCTGTCGTGAGAAGCATTCTTTAGTAAAACTTTCATCTCAA